AAACCCACTGAAATGAATAAGGCAAGATTCACATAGGGTACAACTCTAGTTCTTGAGTGAATATATTCAGTTTCATGTGGGAAAGTTTAAAGTTTGTTAAAAGTCAGCATATAAATAGCATACATAATTAGGCTTTAAAGGTTCAAGCCAATGGGATTTCCATAGACCTGTGAATTCAAGGTATTATGGATATCCTGTGCAAGGTGGGAGGTGCACATAAGCACTCTTTATCTCTCTGTTCTTCTCACCCTGTAAGTCAGCAAGATGACCAATTTCAGGTGTGGGGTGAAGGAGGGTAGAGCCCTGAGAGGATGCATCTCATCCTGGCAGACCCAATCTTTGTGACTTAAACACATGTGCCATATTTTATAAATTCTTTTTTCACTAATATTTATGTATTGCAAAGATCCCATTATAAGTTTTAACACTGAAGGGAAAAAGCAGTTAAGACCAGAAGTGCCTAACTCTTTCAAAACATCTACATTGCTTCAGAATGGGCACTAGCATTTGATTGATGTAGGGTTTGCTTTGATTACAGAGCTTTACAGATTCACTAAATAAAGCATTGATTATTGGGGAGGGGGGTCAAATATCCTTCATTAATTGAGAATGACTACAATGGAAAATTGACTCCTGGAAGAGTTTGCTAATGTCCTCTTTCCCATTTCCTTCCACTTCTCTAGGTTAGCAAATATTTTGTCTTTTTGAATGAAATTAGAATGATTTTTCTAATAATACAAATAGGCAGTTGAAGCTGCATTCAGCTAAAATTAATGCTAATCTTTCAAATAAGAATCGTCCTGCTGCTGCTGTTACTTACATTATTGCATTTTTTACTGTATTTATATCCTGCTTTTTTTCCTCTTGTGAGAAACTCAAAGGGGCTGACATGACTCCATTTTTTTCTCATAACAACAACCCTGTGAAGTAGATTGGAATGAGAATCTGCGACTGGCCCAATGTCATCCAGTGAGCATCATTGGAAGTGGGGACCAGAACCCAGATGTCCCCTGTCCAACACTAATCATCACACCACTTTCTGATGTGCTTTGAACCTGGTTTATGGTTAAAGCTGTTTTGGTTCTGATTTGCTGTCTAATGGGACAGCAAAAGAAAAGAAAATAGTTTAAAAGTTTATTGTAATAGGAAATGTTTATTTGTTAAGTTTTAAGCACTTTCACAGATAAGATAAACTTTTCCTTTCAGGTTCTTGAAAAAGACATATTCACTAAGGCTATGGTATACATGAATGGATTTATATTGGATAATTTGGTCCACAGTTACAACTTTTAACACTAAATCTTTGGGATATGGAGCTTTGGCAAGCAGACATGACAGAAAAATTGACAGCTAAAAAGTTAATCTAATTTTATAGAATCTAATTTTATTTCACATTTCGTAGCATATGAAGCAACACAGCAAAGCCTTTCCCCAGATTATGGTGAAGAGATGGACAGTTGAATCTACCACTGCCGCCCATAACCCTCCAAACTTGCAGGTTTATGGGCATTCAATGGAGGGCAGAAGGAACATGGAGGCAAAGGGCAACTCTGTACTTTTGCCACTCTGCAGAAGACTTAAATGGCCAAATTTGCCCATTTAAATTGTTTGCCTTGGAGCAGGGGAAGAGGGAGCTGAGGTACTGCTAGCATACATACTTGTCTCCTCTTCCTGCCCTGTCTCCTGGAATGGCTGCCAGGAGGGTATCTAGCAGCCATAGGATAATGCCCTAATTGTTGCTACAAAAACAAAAACGAATCTCTCCACGCAGCCAATGGATTCCAGTTACATTTGTAACTTGAAAATAATGGGGGGGGGGGCATTATAAATTAAAGCTAAGTATGCTACCCTCTGTTGACAGGCAGAAGTAAACTTGAAGTATTTTTGTTGTTTTAATTAAGATCTTGAAAATTAATAAAATTTAAAATAAAATCACCAGCTTGCATTTAATCGACCAAAATGGCCCAGGGGTGTATATTTGCAGTTAATTTTTCTCTCAAGTCTGTTGCAGTATCAGCCCTACATTAATTAGGTCAATACAAGATTTCCTAGTATTATATTGTTCCTGCTTAAACTTGATTATTCTGTCATTCTGCACTTGCTTCAGCTGAAGCAGAAGTATATGCATGACAGTTACACAGATACTGCCCAAGACAGTTTCATGCATTACAAAACTTAGACATGGAAGGACTCTTCATGCAGTATTTGGCATGGAACCCCTCATATGTTGATTCTACAAGCATGTATTTTACAGTGCATAATCACAACTGGCTGGGTTTGCACATCATGGCATGCAACTTAGCAGTTTCCACAACTTGCATTTTTTTTTATCTCAGCCTAACAGTCAGTCACATACTCTCCATGTAAGTGCAACTTCCATACTTCCTCCTCTCTCCTCCCATTCTCACCATGCATTTCAGCAGCCCTCTTGAGCAAAATCCCCTTTACTTTTTTGTTCCCTAGGATCAGTTCTTGATTGTCCCAGAGTGCAGGACAGTGAATAATAAGCTCAAGTTACAGGAAGTGAGATTCCTGCTAGAAATTAGGAAAAATTTCCTGTCTGTTAGAGCAGTGCAACCATGGGGAAAAGTACCTAAAAAGGTTGTGGGCTCTTTCATTCTAAAAGCATTCAAGTTGCAACCAATCTGAGAGTGTTGGTTTAACCTGGTGTCCTGCATTGAGCAAGGGCCCAATGGCTTTCGTCTCTTCCAACTCTGCTATTCTATGATCTATCATCCTACTTGGTCCACTGAGGTTTTGAGATGAGAGCTTCCTCTTTTACCTCATGATTGAATCTTCATCTTCATAATGCTCCCTAGCCACTTCAGCCCCTAAAGGGTTAAAAAAACTAAACACTTTTGCTATGATCCCTCCCTTCTCTTTCCATGCATTTACTTGCTTTCTTTCTATTAAAGAAAGCAAACAGGACTGCCACTGTACTCAGCCAAAGAAGAACAAAGAAAATACTGGTTACTAGAAAACTGTGGGTATTAGAGACAAGATGCATAGAGTGGACCCTTCTGTTGCTGCTCTTTCCATAGGATTGAACAGGAGTTTTTCACCATGAATGAAAAAATGGAACTCCTGGGTGCAAACATCATGAGAAGCTGCAATGAAGTGTGGAAATCATACAACAAATTAGTGTTTCTTTCCATGGTTTTCAGAAACCAAATGTTCCTTGCTGAAATTCTGCAACTGGGTTCAGATAATGCAACAAATGAACAAGGATAAAAAGCCAGAATGGGTTCTCGTGACACATGTAGAATGAATAGAATGTTGGATTTGAATTGGGAAGACCATATTCAAATCCTCATTTGGAGACTTTGGTTGTGTTCAGACAACATAACAAGCTATGTTAGTTTTTCTTACTTGTTGGTCTGTCATGATGTTCAAAACCAGTTCTGGTATTTTACTATGGCAAGTTTGGTGTTTAGAAACTATAATAAGAAATAGTTTGTTCTATGGTCTTTCTATACTACCATGGCTTGTCATATTCTCTGAACTCAAGATCAGGGTTTTTATGGTCCTGGTATGCAACTACTACAGAATATCCTAAAAAGCCTGACTAATAAGGAAGAGGCAGAAAGCAATGTAGCTTGGGCTAGAATTTCAGGCACAATAGCTGATGAGATGTGTGTCAATAGTGGAAGGACTGAATAGGGAGGATGGAAACCATGATAACATAGTTGTTAAACATGTCATGGTAAAAACCTGAGAACTCTTGGCAGTCATACAGGGTTGCTTATTGTGTTGTGCAAATCCAGTCTTTTGAGTATGTCACTGTATCTTGGAACAGTCTACCTCACAAGATGTTATTCTAGGCTCCTGGAAGGAAGGCAAGATGCAAATGTGATAAACTACACCTGGGAAGAAGCTGAAGCCAACTGGCATATGTGCAACTGGCAAATGTTTGTGTGAGGCTGACTATGATTTGGCAAAGTTAGGTGGCAGCTCCAGGCAGCTAATTTTGGGTGTCATGAAAGGGCAGTAAATTAGTATTTAATTTGCTAAAATTCAGTTTTGACTGCCAGGGAGAGGAGAAGCACTTGTGGAGTTTTCTACCCTGGTATCAAATAACTTCACTGATAATGGCTATTATGCACTTTGACTTATATATGTGCAAGTGCACCACTTCCATAAGAAATGGGCAAATTCAGTACAAAATAACTTCAGAAAGACAACCCTAAGTAAGGAGGCAAAACAACTCATTATGGACTGAGGATGCTTAGTGGTCACAAAATACTGTTGAGAAGTGGGGAGGATGGATCCTGGATAAAGTTGAATCAGGATAACTTAAACTCTGAACAAGAACACAGTACTCTATAACATTTTGCTGCAGATTCCACTTGTTTGAAACAAATTGTTTATGTGAGTTCAGCATTTATTGCAAGTTAAGTAGAATTTGGAATATATTCCCAATGAGGTCATGTGGTCCAGGGTTTATGTTCCTTTAAAAAATTGATAAGTAATGTCAAAGTTGGTATCTTATTAAGGGTTTCAAGCTACAGCAGTCCATGTAGGTTCCCTAGATGCAGAGCTGATTGCTTGGTAAAAATGTTCCTGGACTGTAAATGGCAAGTATGGGCACTCCAAACTGCAGTGTTTTGGCACTGAGAATTGTCCTGTTATGATTGCCCTGATTAAACATGCTTGCAAGCGCATTATCGAATAATGTTTGTTGTGTGGATTTGTGACTACCAACATGTTCAGCACCCCCCCACCCCTGTTTCTCCCAACCCAAATAGTGCCTAACTCAAAAAAATCTGTAATGGGAAATGATAAAACCATGAATGTATTATTTCTGACACTAATGTTAAATTGTACATTTCAACTGGATTAGAAAGGAGACAGCCAAATTGATAATTTTCTGATGTGAAAATCTTAGCCTTGATATTAATGGTTAGGTCTATTTATGGAATAATTGTTATTTCTCAGGGGCTATTTCTTTTTTGTAATAATGCTGCTATAATGTTCTTATTGTAGGTTAGAGATCTGAAACAATGGGTGACTGGAACTTTCTGGGGAAACTGTTAGAGAAAGCACAAGAGCACTCCACAGTTATTGGCAAAGTTTGGCTGACGGTACTGTTTATCTTCAGGATCTTGGTCCTGGGGGCTGCTGCTGAGGATGTCTGGGGAGATGAGCAATCAGACTTTACATGCAACACCCAGCAACCTGGTTGTGAAAATGTCTGCTATGATGAAGCCTTTCCCATCTCCCATATCCGCTTCTGGGTGCTACAGATAATATTTGTGTCCACCCCAACCCTCATCTATCTAGGCCATGTGCTCCACATTGTACGCATGGAAGAAAAAAAGAGAGAGAAGGAAGAAGAGATGAAAACAGGAAACAGCAGGGATGCTGTCGACATGCAAGGATCAAAAGGAGCTAGCAGTGCTGATAACATCAGTAACAGCAAGGAGCCACCTCCACAGAAAGATGAGAAATTACCACTTCGCAATGAGCATGGCAGGATTCGCATGGCGGGTGCTCTACTACGCACCTACGTCTTCAACATTATTTTCAAAACTCTTTTTGAAGTAGCCTTTATTTTGGGTCAGTATTTCCTTTATGGCTTTGCACTGAAACCACTATACCGTTGTGGTCGCTGGCCCTGCCCAAATACAGTGGACTGCTTTATTTCACGACCAACAGAGAAAACTATCTTTATCATCTTCATGCTGGCCGTGGCCTGTCTCTCATTGCTGCTCAACATGCTTGAGATGTATCACTTGGGGTGGAAGAAATTCAAACAGGGTGTGACTAGCAGCCAAAACCATGCAGCACCTACCTTCACGACCACTGTACCAGCTTTAGAAGTGGAGGAATCCAAGCCTGTCTCCCTGTCAGCCTTGCCCCCAACTACAGCACCTCCTATGGCTTCCATTATCATGCCTGAAACTCGTACCATCACACCTCTGGTTTTTCAGCAAACTGGGTTGCCACATTATGCGGAAGTTGCCTCTGAACCACAACCAGGCTCTGTTACGACCTCTCTGGCTGGCTATCCTGACAGGCCTTCAGCTAGTGAGGAGAGGCAGAAAGCCACCAGGCACACTGCAGTTTCTACTCCAATAGCAACAACATCTTCTATCCCTTCACCTTTGCCCGTTGCCAGCTCCTACTTCAACAGCCATACTTTGGCTCATGAGCAGAACTGGGCTAATCTAGCCGTTGAACAGCAGAGGAAAATCCCTGCCTCCAGCTCAGCTGCCTCCTCCACCCCAAGCAGTTTCCGACAATTGCATCCAGAACAAGAGGAGCCCAGCGAGCACCCCCCACGTCCACCATCTTCGTCACCTGTAGCTGCTGCCAATAGCAGCAGCATCAGTACCAGCCTGAGCGAGGGAAGTGGTAGCAAGTGGGATGGAGAAGGTGAAGAGGATGAACGGCCCATGTCAGCTACCTGCACCCTGGTGGAGATGCATGAACCCCCACTGCTCATAGACACACGTCGCTTGAGCAGGGCTAGTAAGTCAAGCAGCAGTAGAGCCAGATCTGATGACTTGACCGTGTAGTTTGATCCTTGGTGCTAAGAGGAATAGATGGTGAAGACAATGAAGTGTAAAGGGGAACTGTGCCCAAGGGGAGGGTCAAGGGTTAGGCAGGGGGATATGGGAAGCCGAGATTCCTAATGATGAAGCTTGTGGTTATTGCAGTCTGTGGTTGGTGATGGTGGTGGGAGGGAGGGATAAATAGCAAGTTTTCAAGTAGGTCAGGAGTTGCTGAAGTGCATTCCACTGGCCAAGGGACCAATGGCAGCCCGATCATATGAGTGGGGGATGATAGGTGCTAGCATCAAGCAAGTTTATGGTGTTGGAATGACATAACCCCCTCAATCCTTAACTGTCATTTCACTCTTACACTCACCATCATGAAATTTCCTTTTATTGATTCACATTTAGTTCTTAGGAACAAGAACTAGAAGAAACATTTTTTCTTCCTATTAACTTCTACCTGCCACCAGTCACTTCCATAAACATGAAGGTAGCATTAGATCATCTGTCACTTTCTTGGGTCAAATAATCTTACTAAAAAGCAAGCAGATGTAGGTGTCTTCCATTTTATTAGGGCAGTTTTCTGCTGTTGCCAAATTGCCAGTTTCTGATGGGTCTGGACTGAGCAATACTGGAGTAGCTTCTGTCATAGACTTAAGCATTCATCTTTCTTTTATTAGTATTCTTTAGACTACTGATCTATGAGGAAGTGTCAAGCTTGGGATTCTTCAATACAGTGTTTCCAAATCATGAAGACATATTTTAAATCTATGTATTATTTTTTAAAAATATTTGGTTAAGATTTTTGAAATTATTTCTTAAACTATAAAGACAATGACAAAAAACTAAAACAGGCATGTCTTAACATACTACACTAACATATTATATTAACATATTTCCGCTCCCAATTATTTCAATGGAGAAAGTCAAGCTAGGATTTGACTCCATTGCTGAAATTAATGGGGCATAAATGGGGTTAACATTTATTTATTTATTTATAACATTTTTATGTCGCCCCCATTGCAGAAAGCCTCAGGGTGGCTTACAAGGAAAAATAAACATCAACTAACATTAAAAATGTTGGAGCATCTCGGCAATAATTTAAAACCAATAATTTAAAACAGTAATTTACAATTAAAATATCGTTTGAATAAAAAGGTCTGGCCAAAATATTGGCCAGTTGAAGTAAAAAACATTTGGCAAAGGCATTAGAAGTGAAAAACAAGCACTACATTTTATACACACTTACCTGGGAATAAGCCCCATTTTTACTTACTGAGGCTTATGTCTGAATAGATAGGTATATATTGCATTGTAGATCTACAGTGCACACACCTGAATATTTTAAAATAATTTATAGATTTTAAATTAATATGGCAGTGTATTTAAATGTTTTATCTTTGAACTCAGAAGAAATAGAAGAAGAATTGGAAAATAGTGTCACTTGTAGCAACCTCTTGGTAATCACCACAAATGGAACATGGATTCTAGTTTGTCTCCTACACCATAACCTTTCCAAAATAAACATGAGGCAAATACGGATAAAGTTTGTTGTGCTTAGGTGCCATTGAAATGAGTTGGGTTTGTTAGTTTCAACTAACTTCTCACTAATTTTAGTGGAACTTGAATTTAACTAACTTTCTCTGGATCCCAGTTTAGTATACAGTACAAGACTGTCTTGACTAGTATTTCTTAAATATGTTTCCTTTTTGCATATCCCATTTCTGTAAATCAAACAAATGATTGTCCAAAAAGGAATTGTACATTTGAATACACAATGACTGATTCACATTCAGAGTGATTAAATATATCACTTCCCATTCAACTGATTAAATAGATCACTTCAGCCACCCTAAGTGAAGTGCACTCCACTGTCAATTAACAGCACAATCCTATGCATGTTTACTCATCAATAAGTCTGCTTGAGTTGAAGAGGCTTAATGGCAGGTAGTTGTGTACCAGACCGCAGCCTAAATCAATCAACAGAACTAGGGATGCGAATTTTGCATGCACATATTAACCCCAATGCTTTACTTAACAGGTGTCATTTTTAGATTGTTTCTAAAAGCCATAAATTTAAGAACAGCCCTGTTGGCTCAGAGCAAAAGTCTAATGAACTTTTTCCCATAGTTACCAACCAGATGCCTCCAGGAAGCCCAGAAATTGGGCTTCTGGGAAAGAGCTGTCCCCCATTCTTCTGCCTCAAATGACATTCGGAGAGGTATGCCACCTCTGTGTTTGGAGGTGCCCCTCAGAGATCATGTCTAACAGCCATTGACAGATCCAGCCTCCATGAATTTGTCTAATCCCCATTTAAAGGCATCTAAGTAGTGCCTTAAAACACCATGAAACATAACATTCTGTTCCTGGAGTTGCATATGCAATATTGCTGACAGAGCATGTAGGCTTGTATAAGCAAAAATGAGGATAGAATTTCACTCTGCTTCTTTTTCAAAACAAATTGTCTGGTATTTAAAGCATTTCCCCCCACCCTCTCTCTCTCTCTGAGAAAGAGAATTGTATCAGCATTCCTTGTGATAAATATTGTACTTGTTTATCTCAATGTAAAGAGTGATTTTTCCAAAGTTACTCTGATTTTCTGTTTAGGTTACAATCGTATACATGCTTACTTGGTAGTAAATCTCATTGAAATGAGTGGGATATGCTTCTGAGGAGAAATGCATAGGACTGCATTGTTAATGAGTAATTTAGAAAAGCACTCAGGAGTGCATTATTTGCTTGGATTGGAGTTTAACTCATGATTCCCCAGAGTCCCTTATAAATGCAGTTCTTTCTCAATCCATGTTTTACTAAAACAACAAATATCAGATGTCCTATTTCTTATTTCACTGGATATCCAACATATTTGAGAATATAGCTAAGGGAGATCACTCACCATAAAACAATATACTCACAACTTTGAGTGTATGAAATAAACTGCAGTTAAAATGTTCTAATTCTATTATTTTAGTTTGTATGATGAACAGTCTAATATACTTAAATGGCCTCATCCCAAATTAGCTAAAACAAATGCTAGCCTTCTTAGTGGAAGGGAATCAAATTTCAGTATTCATTTTTGGGGAAGTGTTTTGGGATAAATTTCAGTATTAATTTTTTACTGATATAATACTCTACAACCTGTAGCCAGAAGGCATTGCACATGTATTGCCTTTTTTCTCAGTAGATGTTCTGCATTAAGAAGATAGAAAAAGCAGTATGAAAACACATGAGGGTCATAAGTAGAAGATGATGTTGTCTAGATCCCCTGTAAACTTCTGTGAACAAAGCCCGTGATGATGGCACCATAAAAACCTTATCTAGAACTGAAAGTTCAACAGTAAGAGAACAGATTCAGTTCATGAACACAGAGCTTGTAAATGTGTATGTGTCCAAATTTGAAGGCGCATGCTAAAGTCCCTGGTTGGTTGAATGGATGGTTGGTTTGTTTTAAAGAATAAATTCAGTTTACATTTTCAACCAACTTAGAAAGGAATTTATTCAAGAACAAAGCAACATAAGGGAAAAAAGTATTATCTTAAATGTGTAAAATAATCTTAAAGTATTTAAATATGTTTCATCTTTTGAAAATGAAAATAAGGATAATTTACCCTTGCAGTGTAAAACTTTGCAGCTTTTGCTTGGGTTCCAGTGCAGTAAAACTTTTCATGTATTGCTCTAAAGTAGGTGCTTTCACAAGTGACTAAGAATTGGAGTGTGCCTTGGCTATATAAAATGAAAACATGACATTAATAATCTCTGATACTCAATTTAAAATTGCCTGTTGAACTTCTTAAATCCAACTATCCAGTACAGCATCCATAAACATACTGCAGACACAGGCATAATCTTGCACAGATTTAGATATCCTTTACCTTTACTGAATTCAGTGATGCTTAAATGCATATATTTACTGTGCCTCATGCTGGATCATTGCTTAAATTGTGTTCTTTGGTTATATAACTATGCAAGTTGACCTCAACATAATTTCCACTGAAAGACAGAATAACCTATTCAGGTGTAGGATCAGGCTTTAAGTATCATGTTTAAAAATTTCCCATGAAGGAACTACTGTAATGGTAGCAGGCAGACTCAGGTCTTCAAAAGATAGGTCATCGCCAAAGTCCGCCCACTCTACTCCCTGTCTACCACCTTTCCACTCAGACTTGACCCTCCCTCGTTCCTTTTAAATGCACTTGGTGATTATCTACACATAGAAGATACAAGATTGCCACCATCACTGCTGGCTGCAGGTTTTCAATAACTCTTGGCACAACACCTTCAATGCTCCCTCTCCTTCATCTCATCTTTGCCAGTGCCTGCTTGCTTGCCAGGCAGAGCACCAGGGGGCAGGCATCCAATGGTAACTGCTCTCCCTGCTTTCAAGACCACAGTTGTCTGAGGAAGAACAAAATGCAGGTGAACACACAAGGTACAGTGATGAAGAGGTGAATCAACTCCAGGAGGGTTTGTCAGTGTGGGGTCTTGGCCTAACTATGTCTGTGCTTGGCACTGGCCCTGACCACCATCGCATATGGTTCTATCATGTGTCTTTTCACAATTGGATTTTCAGTACATAACAGAATCAGCATTTTTAAGTGGCAGTATTTATCTTCTAGAATTGTACAGGTGAATAGATTAGGCATGTGGAGAACTTTTACCTATTAGATAAAAAATAATAATTTTGAAATATAAACCAGACAAGGTTTTAATGAAAAGGGGGTTTTATATGAATAAGCCCTCCCACAGCATTGACTGTGAGCTTCTTTTAAAAAATGTATCCACATTCTCCAAATTAAACTGAGTTAATCCATTATGTAACTTCAAAAGTAATTTGATTTCACAATGATAGCCATTTGTTGTTAGGCCAGTACAGGTGGCTTTAAAGGCGTTTCAAGATGCGAGAGAGTTCTGTGTGCTAGCACTGCTAACATCCCCAGTGTTAGCCTAGCAGACATCAAATGGATAGATTCTGTTGACACAAGCTACACAGTGTGAATGTGGTTCAGTTGCTTGGGAGCCCC